TGTAACGCATCGTACACAATATGATCTGGTGCATAAACTATTATTTCACAATCAACAAGCGAAGTTTTATCATACATTTTACGCAAAATATTTATCGCATCACCTTTATTCACGATACAATTTGATGTAAATAAACGACAAACTGCTTAAACTTATTACTAACGGCGTCTGTATTTTGACTTAAATCAAAGTATACAAGCTCAACGCAATGTTCAAGTTCGAATATAAAAATCATAGTTGACGGTTTCATGTACATGCAAGTTTCACGCAGTGTTAATTTTACAATATTTTCATTACGTATTTTTACAAGTTCTACAACCAGGTCTTGAATTGTTAGCGATGACGGAACGCTTGACTGCAGAAATCGCTCAATGTCCATACGTCTCTCGATCTTCCACAATCCGTAAGGCCACCAGTTAGATATTTTATACGCGTCAAAGATAAAAATGGACGTGTCACCATTCTCACACACACGTCACATCTGAATGTTGCAGGAATACCATGAAGGCACACAGTATAAAATCGCTATCGAACCGCCTATCGAACGGATACCCCTGTTCTGTCGAACTGCCTGTCGAACCGATATCCCTGTTCTGTCGCATTGCCTGTCAAACCGATACCCCTATTCTGTCGAACTGCCTGTCATACCGATACCGCTCTTCTGTCTATCAGTCTTAACTACAAAGAAATCACATTCTTTCGTTTGCAATCAGCATCAGTTAAATATTTACATACACATATTTACATACACATGAAATTTTAAGAACATGCGATACATTCTCTCTTACTCACACACGCACACAATTACCTTGTAAAGATTCGATGACTCCTGTAGCTTTGTGAGAAAGACAGAATTTCCATTTCGATTAACGTTTATTTTAATAAATTTTCGTCAGTTTCAATGCAGACTTTATTACTGACTGACACAGATTATTATTTAGTTAATTCTTTATTTTACATAACGTGTCACTTCAACATTTCACACTCGATTCACATATTCGATTCACATACGAACAATTCACTGGAAGAAATAACGAGAAATCTACTAATGCATTTATCCGTTACGTACTTTACAATTACTGTTGATTAATTATCCGTCCACTGAAACATCACACAAAACACACGGCGATTTATTAATACACAACCTGTTCCATCAAGGATAGCATGCAGTCGACAAATTTTAATATCGAATTTATTAGTTAATTATTATCAATCCGTATCGATTAATTATTTGTCGACTAAAGAAATCACTTGAAAAAAGAAACACACGACGCGTGCACTCAATGAAAGCAAGCAGTCGACTTTAATATCGAATTTATTAATTATTATCATTCCGTGTTTATTCGTATCTATTCGTGTCTATTAATTATTCGTCGACTGAAAAATCACTCGAAGAAAGAAATACGCGACAATTTACTAACACACGACAATTCACTGACATACGAGACGTTCACTCGATCATAGCAAGCAATGCGCTCTGATTGTGATATTTCAACTAATCACATGTTCGCGTTTCGACAGCGCTGCAAACATAACCAATAAAATCAGTCGATTGCATGTTATCGTCGAGTGAACGCCTCATGTGTCAGTAAATCGTCGTGTGTTAGTAAATAATGCGCGTGTTTTTTTCCTCGAGTGAGTTTTCAATCGATAAAAAATTAATCGACATTGATTGATAATTATTAACTAATACATTCGGTATTAAAGTCAGTCAACTGCTTACTATTGTCGAGTGAATGCTTCGTGTGTCAATAAATCGTCGTGTTTTAGTAAATTGTCGCGTGTTTCTTTCTTCAATTGATTTTTCAGTCAACGAATAATTAATCGACACAGATTGATAATAATTAAGTGATAAATTTGATATTAAAATCAGTCGACTGCTTGCTATCATCGAGTGAACGGGTCGTGTGTTAATAAATTGCCGTGTGTTTCTTTCTTCGTGTAATTTTTCAGTGAACGGATAATTAATCGACAGTGATTGTAAAGTACGTAACGAATATTAATTAGTAGATACATTAGTAGATTTCTAGTGATTTCTTCAATTGAATAGTTTGTATGTGAATGGAGTGTAAAATATGAAGTGACACGGTTTGTAACAAAAAAAGAATTAAGTATTTGATCTGTGTCAATTAGTGATAACTTGTGACGTTAGCATTAAAACTTTTTTTTTAAACGTGGTGTAAAAATCTTCATAGACCCCAGTGCGCCTGTAACAGGGGAGTGCGGGATTCACCTGACCAGACGACGAGGTCTAAGCGCCTACCCGCTAAAACATCACCACAGAAGAATCCGACCCGATCTCATATGAAGGTGACCCCGGGACCGCCGGAGAGCATTACTTCAGGGCAAGTTTGCATTAAAACTATCGAAAATTTATTAAAATAAACACTCTACGTGGAAATCACATCGAAATGGAAATTCATCCATCTTTTTCGAGAAACTACAGAAGTCGACAAATCTTTAAAAGTTAAGGTTCTTTTGAGTGTGTGTGTGTGTGTGCGTGCGTGCGTGCGTGGATGAGTGGGTGTCAGTGTGTGCGAGAGTGTGTTTGCGTGTTGATCTATTATGCGATTTCCTAAATGTTTATTATGTATATTTTAATATCAATAATATTTACAACATTTTATATATGAACAAAAAGCGAACTTGGTTAGATGGCGTGTGCGTGCATGGTTGTGGGCAGCGAGCGTGCGTGAATTAGAGAGTGCGTTTTATAGAAAGTAGGGAGTATAGAAGAGTTGGGGATCGTAAATTAGGTAGGAGAACGTATAAAGAAGGTGAGAAATTGGAGGCGTAGGTGGGCGAGCGGAGATAAGAAAGATCGAGGAGTGTGAAGTGACGGGTGAAGCAGTGAAGGTTAGGGCGAGGAGAGATATGGCGGGAAAGGATATGCGAGGACCGGGGGAAGTCGGTAAGATAGGAAAGGACACGGGAGGAGCGGGTAAGATGGGAAGATCTAAGGGAGAGGAGAAACAGCGTAAATTAGTGACGGAAGGGAGAGAAGGTGAGAAGAAAGTGACATTTAAGTTTGGGAAAGAAATAAGCGAAAAAGAGGAATGGGATAAATTGAAACAGGAGATAAAAGTAATTAAAGAAGAAATTGAGAGAATGAGGGAAGAGCGTAAAATCTATAGAGAGGCAGTAAATGAAATAAAAGTGAAAATTAGAGATTATGAAAAAAAATTGGCTGAACAGGAGGAAAGAATAGAGGAATTGGAAAATAGAGAGAAAGGGAGAGAGTTTAGGGGAGAAGTTGAGAGTGGAGGAGGGAGTGAGGGAGGAGATAGCAAAACATGTATAGTGTAACAGGGAGGGCAAGTAGTTATGCGAGCCTGGGATCAACGAGCGTAGACAGTAGGTTAAGTGAAAGAGAAGTGGGAAGAATTAAGAGATGGGTGGTAGAGAAAGATAAAGAGGAGAGGAGGTGTAATATTATAATAAAGGGAATAAAATGGCCAAAGGAAATAGATGGGAAATGGAAAGAGATAAGAGAATGGGTATATGAGCTGATAAAAGAAAAAATAGGGGTGGTGTGTAAAGTGACGAACTGCAGGGAAAGCGGCACGGTGATAATAGTGAAATTGGAAAGTGAAGAGGTAAAAAGAGAGATAATGAAAAACAAGTACAAATTGAAAGGAGATAGGATTTTTATAGAGAATGATCTAAGCTGGGAGGAAAGAAAGATACAGGTAAAAATAAATAGGTGGGTAAAAGAAAGGAAAAAAAAGGTCTGGAGGTAAAAGTAGGGTTGGGAAGAGTGAGAATCAAGGGAATATGGAGGCTATGGTCGGAGATAGAAAGGGAGGAAGTGGAAGAAATAAATAAGGATGAAGATAATGGGAAGGGTAAATGGGAAAAAGGAAAAGTTAGACATGAGGAGAACATGGAACAAAATTTCGATTAAGCCAGAAAGGAGAGAGGGGGAAAAGAGAAAGGGGGGTTAGGGGTGCTCGAGGAGAGAGGAGGGGAGACAGGAGGGGTAGGAAGGATAAAAGAAAAAAGAGGAAATGGGTGTTCTGGAATGTGGCTGGAATAGGAAATAAAGATAAAGATTTTTGGAGATACGTAAAAAGTTTTGATTTGATAAGTCAATGCGAGACATGGATAGATGAAAGAGGGTGGGATAGTTTAAAGGGGAGGTTACCGGACTCTCACATATGGGAATGCAGTTATGCAGTAAAGGAAAGGAATAAAGGGAGAGCAAAAGGTGGATTTTTAATAGGAAAAAAGAAAGATTGGATAGATGTGATTAAATAGGACAACTATGTGAATTAAATAGGAAAGAGGAAGATGGAATAATAATGTCGGAAATTAGAACAGAAAAGGAATACTGGAAAATAATGTCGATATATGAAACAAAGGGGGGTAAAAATTTAGGAAAAAGACTAAATAATTTTTATAGGAAATGAGAAAGAGGGAAGGATATTGATAGGAGAGGATTTTAATATAAGAACAGGTGAATTAGGAGGAAGTTGTGAGGAAGGGGATTTTGAAAGATTTAGTAAAGATAAGGTAATAGGAAATGGAGGTAAGGAGTTCATAGAGTGGGTTGAGGAAAGAGGCTGGAAGATCTTAAATGGGAAAACGGAGGGAGATTGGGAAGGAGAGTACACTTATGTATGTGCAAGAGGTAGTACGGTCATCGATTATGTAATAGTGAATGAGGAAAGCGAGAATTGTATAAAGAAGTTCAAGATAGGAGAAAGAGTGGACTCAGACCATCTGCCCTTGGAGGTAGAAATAAGGATGGAAGAAGAGGAAAGCCGCGAAGAAGGGAAGATCTCAGAGGATGAGGAAGAAGAGGAGGAAATGGAGGTCATCATCTGGAACAAGGAGGTTATAAAGAGCTACAATGAACAAACAAAGGAATGGAGCGGGGAAGAAAGGATAGACGAGCAGGAGGCTAATTCGGTGGAATACAGGTGGGAAGAAATCAAACAAGTGGTATATGGAGCTATGGTCAGAAAGAAAGTAAGGAAGAGGAAGCGAGAGTTAGGACATAAGGATTGGTGGGACAGGAGTTGCACAAAGAAGAAAAGGGAGGTGAAACGAAAGTACAGGAACTGGAGAAAAGGGAAGATTGAAAAAGAAACTTATATGGAGGAGAGAAGATTTTATAGGAAATGGTTGGAGAAGAAGCAAAAAGAAAAAAGAGAAGAGAAAGAGGAGGATTTGAAGAAAATGAAGAATGAAACGGAAGTCTGGAAATTTATTAATAAGAAAAGAGGCAAGAGGATGAATATAGAAAATAATGTAGGGAAAGAGGAATGGAGAAGTTATTTCAAGGCTCTGTTGGAGGGCTTGGAGCTGGAGGAAAAGGTAACCAAAGAAAAAGACAATGATAAAGAAGAGGCAGTAGGGGATGGAGAAGAAGAGGAGATTAAGGAAGTGGTAGTATGGAGAGCCATAAAAGGGATGAAGAAAAAGAAGGCAGCAGGAATAGATGGAATTCCAATGGATTTATGCAGGAGAAGGTCTGAAGAAAAAGTTAATGGATTTAATAAGATTGATATGGAAAGTAGGGACCATCCCAACAGATTGGAAGAAAAGTATTGTTGTGCCGTTGTACAAGAGAGGAGACAAAGAAAAAGTTGAAAATTATAGAGGTATTTCTCTATTGTGTATGGCGTACAAGATTTATGCAGAGGTGCTTAAAAGCAGATTAGAAGTGGAGGTGGCTATAAAAGAGTTATTACCAAAAGGACAAGCTGGTTTTAGAGCGGGAAGATCAACCCTGGATAATATTTTTGTTTTGTTACACCTGATGCAAAGGGAGAGGAGAAAAGGAGGAAAAAACGAAAAGGTATACATGATGTTTGCGGATTTAAAGGCGGCTTTCGACAATGTGGATCGGAATAAATTATGGAAAGAGCTAAGAGGAAGGGGTATAGAAGAGGATCTGGTGAAAAGAATAGAGAAGATATACGAAGAAACTGAGGTGGTGGTGAGGACAAAACAGGGTTTCACGAAGGCGTTCAAAACGAAGAAAGGAGTAAGGCAGGGATGCATACTGAGTCCACTTTTGTTTAATTTGTATACGGCGAGAATAGAAAAGGAAATGAAAAAGAGGAGGATAAGCGGAGTAAAAATTGGAAATTGTAGAATATGGAGTCTGACGTATGCAGACGATGTAGTCATCCTTGCGAATAATAGAGAAGCGATGCAGGATATGATGGGGACTATAAAGAAATTTGTGAAAGAAAGAAACCTAGATTTAAGTGTGAATAAGACTAAAATGCTGGTGTTCAATAGAAAAAAGAAGGAGAAGTATGAGAAATGGTCGTGGGAGGGTAAGACAATCGAAGAGGTACAAAAATTCAAATTCTTAGGTTTCATGATAAATAACAAATAATTATAAAGAACATGTAAAGGAAATGAACAGAAAAGGGAGATTGATGGTAAGGAAAGTATGGGGTTTGGGAGAAAGAATATGTAGAAATGATTTTAAGAGAAAGGTGGACTTTATTCAGGTATTTAGTGCAGAGTGTGATGGGATATGGAGTCGAAATATGGGGGGGG